GCAGCGGTGAATACCTGTTCAACGCAATGCCGTCAGCTGACAATGTTACGGTGATCGTAGCGTTACACAAATAATAGATAGATCAATGAAAAATCGCTGACTTTAGTTTTGAAATGCCGTTGTAGAAAAAAAATGTCATTATTGATTTATTAATTTCTTCATACAGATTTTACAAATTTAACAAACAAATCCCCCCCCCCCGTCGTATGAACTGACAGTAACATTGGCACTAAAACTGACTGTATTTGTACACAAAATAATGATGAACCAATTACCTCCACGGATAAACAATATATTTACTGACTGGCTATAAGTATTTCCATTTCTTTCCTGTTCTATTTCAAACTTTATTTGACTTGATGCACACATAAAACACAATGAATGTAAATGATAAAAAATATATGAGATATGTATCAGTTCTTTATTTCAGTTAAAATGTTTGTTGGGGAAGCTAATTATTATGCAAACAAAATTATGCAAATAAGATATATTGTTATGTAAATTAGCCGCGATGCTTGGCTTAGAGTCTGGGGAGAACACTGTTAAACGCAATTCTTCGGAAATTCTCCAACAGCATTCGTGAAGCATTGATCAAAGACCAAGTTTTAATTTAGTGGCATTTTTGAAGGGGTGGGCGCTTTGCTGAATGTGACCCCGAATATAAAAATTGCCCAAAAGTTGGGGGTGGGTGCTTGACCAAGTATGGGCTCTAATGCAATCCAGTACAGTTTCTCAATGGATAAGGTTGTAATAGTAACAATATGTTTTTGGACCTGTATATGAATAAAAGGTAATGATATGTTATCCAATCATTGCACAGAGTTATGCACTTATTGGATGATGTGGTTAGAACAATTATATATTGCCACAAAATTATCATGTAGCTCTAAAAACCCAGAAATACCATCAACAAGTCTCACTGCAACAAGTTGAAACTATAATGAATCATTCATACATACACAGCAAGGTATGCAGGTTTGTTTCATTACACTGACCTACAAGGGTATGTAATACAATACTGTTATTGATAGCTTTGAACCATAATTCAGGACATTGCCCTTTCATATATATACTTCTACATGTATAAACACATATATTAAAACAAAGTAGATTATACAATTATGCAATATAATAATAATAATAATAATAATAATAACACAATACATCATAATAAACAACAAATGTCTTGGTCTGTACATGTGTTTTTGATTTTCTTTTCAATGTGTACTAAGATTCATGTAGAAATACAATTTTTGATTCAAAATATTTTTTGCAAGAAGATATGCATATGATAAAAAACAGTTAAAATTTGAGTTTTCTTGTGTCCAGCATCATTAGACAAAACAAACGGACATATCGATACAAATTATGATGTTAGACAAAATGATATATTCATATGCATAACATTTTATTTTGGCATTTTATTGTATTTGACTGGAGTCATTTTTGATAGCCTAAAAAATATGCAAAATAAAGCTAAAAATTTGAAAGTCGAGAGCCAAAGTCTTGTACATTGTACTGTAAAATGACTAATTTTCACTGGGTTTAAATTTCACTGATTTACCAATTCAGGCATATTCAGTGGGTTTTAAATTCACGGTTTCGTCATTTAGATAATGTGTTCTATGCTAAACTTTACATATTCACTGTGTTTTAATTTAGCGCATTTTTCCAGTCAGCGAAATAAGCTAAATTAAAACCCAGTGAATAATTACCCCCTTTACAGTATACACAATGTACCACATCAGATACTTGATACCCCTGCACATAGTATTGTGTATAATATTTGCTGTGTACCTCATCAGATTCATCATGCCACTCATCATTTTCTTATTGTTTATACAGGAACCCAGAGACAAAAAAACCAGTTTTGTTTGTTGTAAATTAAAAGGAATAAAA